AAGGTTGGACACCCCTGGTCTACATTTTATAAAGCTGAACGCCACAACCCTTGTCTATTGGTTGCCTATAGAGAGTAGCTATTAAAATTTCATAAGTATGCCTACCTTCCAATAGTTAACGTACCTTTATACCCATAAAAAGTGAAGGGTAAACCCAGAAATTTTATAGCCACTATCTGAAACAGGTAATAACTGAGTCACAGTCAAATTGCATTTATTATACATTGTGCCTTTAACAACTGCTTTGGGATCAAGCCATAGAGAAACAGTGTACTATGACAGATGTCATATAATCTTGGTGTCTTAAAAAATCCAACTTCCATTTAATGATGTTAAAGTTTTGGCTTTTTGGCAAAGAAAGACATGATATAGCAAAGTTTCTTGGCACACAATAAAATTAAGTTTGTGGTGAATGAATTAATACCCATTATCCAATCCAGCTAACTCAAGAATATGCCATTTTTATGAACAAGTAAGACGTGTGCAACACTTAGCAAGCATGAAGAAAATGATAAATGAAACCAAAAGTTCATTGGTATCAAAAACCCTTAAAGAGAAAAGTACCTGGTCTTCTACATAAACATGCAATTTCTATAGTTCCCTTAACATGATATGCATATATTTTTCTTGAAGATATAATTGTGATAGAAGAGATAATCTTCAGGACAGCATCTGAGGCCTGCAGGTATATAACCACCACTGCTTTAATCTGAAAAACTTAATATAGCTTGGTAACTCTAAATATTTATCAACTAAATAGTTATATTTTAGCATTCTGAATAACCTACGGAGGCAAATGACATGAAACTTTATCACCAGTAAAGTGCCTTCTTATGTCAAATCAAATTTAATTGCCTGAGAGTCTGATGAAGGAGTTTGTTGTTCTTGCAAGATATGGAAGACAAATTTGTTCAGTACTTCTCTTTAATTTGAAGAATGAAATGAAATAAGACATGAACACAAAATGGTATCTTTAAGATTTGAAAAAACAGTAACAATATATCTAATGTTTTTATATATTCATCTGGAGAACAGAACAGACATCACTGCACTTTTGAGGGGTTCTTTCAGAGGCTGAGAACAATTTTCCTTTGTTTTCAAAGGCATGTTTACAGGCCATACATGTTTACCCATACAGGCCATTCAGAAATAAAGCTCAAGAATTCATGAAAAGGTGCTGAATGGCTAACATTTAAGGCAGGTACCAGAGGAAAAAAATATCCATCAACTTAAAAATGATGTCAAATGAAACATCTAAAAGCATTCAGCAAATCCATATTCTGGCAAAGCAAACATTTCATAACTTCTCTAGAAGGCTGAGAGGCGACTTCCAAAACATGCACTACCGAAAGCAGAAGATGCCAGCATCAACATAGGCAAATATTATCTACAATCACTTCTGAGCTTCTCTGCCCCATTTATTAACTGCAAGAGTTTGGAAGGATCTTCTTTCCTACCTTTTCTCAGATAAAGAAGTAAAAAAAAAAGTACCACAAGACAAATGACAAATCATTTACATGACTTTCCCAAGAAAGCTGCAGTGATGCAGTCAATAAATACAGAGCTCCACACAAGAACGTATCTACTTTTCATTCAACAATATTTAGTTCGTGTGGTTTATAACACTATGATACTTAAGCACTTTAAAGATAAGTCTGAATCATCCTAAAAGCAAACCAACCACAACCAGTAAGATTTCATTCAAACTTGTGTCAATCAAGTCTCACTGCTTTCATTATGCTTGCTCCAAAATCAATAGTTTATTTGTTATAACATCTCTCTAGGCTTTTTTTTAAAAAGGAAAAATAGGTCATAGGTGCCAACAAAATAATTAGCAAGTATATGTTGAAAAATATATTCTCCTTTTCCAATAGGCAATTTAACTGATGTATTTGCAAAATTAGCATATATAGTGTTCATTTATAGTAAATGTTCAATGGATATAGAGCTTGACTTCTACTCAACCTCACTGAGGAGCCTCAAGCCAAATAAATCAAGTTCAAATTAATATAAGATCAGGAAACAATATAAGAAAGACTTTTTACCTTAACATAGCACCCAAGCTTTTCTTTTTTGTTTTTCTTTCAGGATTGTCATTCTCTTCTTTTTTGTCCTTTTCATTGATTTTCAATTTGTTTTTGAGATTAGGCTTTTTATTTTTTTCCTTTGTTTTCAATTTTTCTTCGGTCTTCTTGGGTTTTTTTGTCTTTCCTTCCATATCTTCTAATTCAGAATTTGTGTGAAAGGCTTTTGCAAAGTTCTGACCTTCTGGACCAGAAAGGGAACTCTTATCTGACAGACCATCTGCAGAGTAAAAAAAGCAATCAGCAAGTACAGTCAATAATCCTATAAACTACATACAGGTAGTCCTCGACTTACAAGAGTTCACTTAGTGAACATTGAATGCTACAACAACACTTTAAAAAGTGACTTATGACTGTTTTTCACGCTTAGGACCATTGCAGCTTCCCTGTGGTCATGTGATCAAAATTCAGGCATTTAGCAACTGACTCATATTTATGATGGTTGCAGTGTTCTGCCCCGGGGTCTTGTCATCACTTTTTGAGACCTTCTGACAAACAAAGTCAATGGGGAAGCCAGATTCACTCAACAACCATGTTACCAACTTAATAACTGCAGTGATTCACTTAACAACTGTGGCACAAAAGGTCATAAAATGGGCCAAAATTCACTTTACAACTGTCTCATTTAGCAACTGAAATTTTGGGCTCAATTGTCATCATAAGTTGGAGACTACCTATACATATTTTCTGATTAATATGTATAAGTTTGGGGTGGCACTACCCCAAACAGACCCTGTGCGTAATCTAGGGGTTTTCCTGGACTCATGTCTCCTGCTCAAAGAGCAGGTGGCAATCATGGCTAGGAAGGCCTTTGCACAATTGCGGATTGTGCACAAGTTACACCGTTTCCTAGACCAACGGTCCCTGCTCACAGTCACTCATGCCCTAGTCACTTCCTGTCTTGATTATTGCAACACGCTCTACATGGGGCTGCTCTTGAAGAACATCCGGAAGGTCCAGTTGGTGCAAAATGCAGTGGCCTGCATGGTTTTGTGCAGATCCCGGTGTACACATATTTCACCTCTCCTGCAGGAGCTGCATTGGTTGTCGATTTGCTTCCGTGTGCAATTCAAGGTGCTGGTTGTCACCTTTAAAGCCCTTCATGGCTTGGGACCAGGTTATCTGAGGGAACATCTCTTGCTGGTCACATCTACCTGACCCATTAGAGTGGGGAGACAGGGAATGCTGTGGGTCTCATCCCTGAGGGAGATACACCTGGTAGGACCCAGTAGAAGGCCTTCTCCATGGTGGCTCCCTCTCTCTGGAACATCATTCCCCCAGAGATAATGGCCCCCTCACTAATACTCTTCCAGAAGGCACTGAAGACCTAGGTCTGCCAGGGGGCCTGGGGAACCCAAAGCAGGATGGAGCCCATCAAATGGCTCGTGTGATCTCATGTCATCTGGGCGGCGGGTGGGAGTTGGGAGGTTATTTTTTTTTTTAAAAAATATTATTTTTCCCCATATTTTGTTCTATTGTACTTTATTAATTTATTTGATTCTTTTTGTTAGTTTTTATTGTTTTTTATTTTAAATATGGTTTTACATTCTGTAAGCCGCCTCGAGTCACCATGGGCAAATAGGTGGCAATATAAATTCAATAAATAAATACATAAATAAGCAAAACAAATTTTCATAAATTGCAAACAAAAGATATTTCCAACGATCCTGTTATAACTGCAGAGGTTGCATTACAATGAATGTTCATCTAATTCTTTTTGTTAGAAAGACACTAAATCTAACTGGATAAAATTGTTCGTATTATTATCCACTTATTATATTTGGTCATATATATCCTGCTTGATACCAAGTTTATCAAAGTTTACATTTACATATACACACACTATTGAAATCTTGATTCAGATAGTACCTAGTAAGTTCACACACACAAAAAGATACAATGTTAGATAATGCATTAACATTGAAAGAAGGCTGGTCTTTGGTCATTATACTAGAATAGGAGAGAGCTTTCCAAAGAAATGGGCACAGATACATGCATACATGTACACATATATCAAGATGGAAAATTAATATCTACTAATTGATCAGATCAATTTATGATCACCAGCCATGTTTGCAGAGTTAAGGTCAATTCAAGAATCCCAATATAGTTCCCTACATAGTCTGCACTATAGAGTGTATGGTTCCATATGCAAAACTGGATTCAACTCTTCTTTGAAATCAGGTTTTTACAGATGAATGTTCATAGGACAACATAGATTTACTAAAAAAAGAAAGGTTCTGTGGTACCTACCTCCTGCCGTGTCATCAGGTCCATCATAGGATTTATCAATGGCAGCTCTGAAACTCTCGTTACATCCTCTACCACGGACCATGTGAGGCCTAGGCCTGTAGAATGGAAGCTCATTCTTTTTTACTTCAGCAACAGCTGTCTGGAGACTTTCTAGGGAACTCGACTTTTTTAATCCCAGGGTGGGGCCAATATCCTTACTAGGAGATTCTAAAGAAAGAGAACAATAATAAAAAAATTTAAACTACCTAAAGCTGTAACAAAGCTGCTTACTTGTCCAAGTTGTAAAGTAGAATTGCAATTAGTACACCATTATATTATAATACTAAATCTTGAACCTACATAACTGGAAGTCACCTCTTGTACATAATTATGCAGAACTATGTAGTCTAGTAAATTAGATGTTAATTTCATAGGCACAGAAAACATAAACTATAAAAGTTGGGAGCATATTTAACTCAAAAATAGTATTACTATTGTAAAACTTGAGGGAATCAAAACAGCAGGATCTAAAATTTCCCCAGGATCCTTAATATAATTTCACAACTGACCTTGGCTTTGTTAAAACAAATGAATACTAGTTTCATAAAGAAAGTAACCCTCCTTCAATAACCACATAAATCCTATATATGTCTACCAAGTTTACTGGGGTATATGGAGAATTTTCTTTTAAAGGGATAAAAAGACTATTAACTTATTTCCAGGAATGTTTATGAAAATGACTCAAGTATTTTAACCCTCAACTTTTTGGCATAAGAATGCATTTGAAAAACCAAGTCATCTGCATAGGTAAGCTCCTCCACTGATATGTTTGAAGACTAAATAAATGAAAAGTGAAAAAGAGGAGAAAAGGCCAGAAAAGGTGCTGCACAAAAAGCTGCCCACAGAGAAGCTAAAGAGCAGATCTACACAGCAGAAACCATAGAGGGGGGGGGGACAAAAAACAAAGAGATGCCCTTAAATACAACTAGGTGTATTATTGTTAGCTGAACAAATCTCTCTAAGTGAGATTGCTAAAGGATTTCTGTATGCTATGTATACTTAGATTTTTTTAGATTTTGTGTTTTCATAAATCATCTTAATGGTCAAGGGAAGAAGATAATAGACCTGGATTGTTTACAAATCTTTCCCAATTCTTTCTAATAATTAGGGTCAACAAAATTTGCCTGAAGTGTCAAGAAGGGAGAGTCACTATATCAGGTATGGTTCTCCCAGATCAACAGCACTGCCTTTCTCAGACCATTTTTATAGGCAGCCATATTATACAGAGACCTGAAGGTGGGAACTGCTGACACTGCATTATGTCTGTAGTTCCTGTTTAAAATGATTAGGAAGAACAATGTGCAAGAAAAGAGAAGGAGAAAGAAAAAATGATTTTTTTTCCCTATGAAGGAATATCATCTTTCTGGAAGACAGATTAGTCACCTATTTGTGTGAAAATTGGTCAAAACAGTTTTATTTTCCAGAAATGAATTGAGGAATAATGAGTGGTACTATCTGATGATTTATTGCTGCATGAGTTATTTATTGCTATATTGTGGGTTTGGTTTTTTAGATTTTACAATGGATGATTACATTTTATGTTTTTTTCATATAATTTACTGTGGCTATCTTAATTCTTTAACTACAAATTCTTTAACTAACCCACAAATAAACTAATAAACAACACTATGAAAAAGACTAAAAGAAAAGAAGCAAAGACTTAGGACTGGGGATGAAATCATAAACATCCATGGGTTGAGGGAGGGTGCCAAGTGATGAAACTTCGGTCACAATATTACAATGTAAAGTTCAAGTACAGAAGAATATAGCTTTTGTCCTAATGGCATCATCACTGCTACTTTTTGCCTATGGGTACAGTGAACAATGGGTCAATAAATGTGCTGAAAAAAGATACCATAGTCCAGAAGCAGAAAAAAATAACATTAAGATGAGAAAAGAAAAGGGGCAGGATGATGTACAAAGAGACTTAGAGCATTTTAAAATGGCTGAGATACGCAACACAACAGGGATGGTTGCAGAGTGCAGAACTAGCAAATGATAATTAGCTCACCCAAAGTTTCAAAGACTTTAGTAATGCAAAATAAAAAGAAAGATCATGATAGAAACAAATGTGTGCAAGGAAAAAATGAGCATGCATGGGGGATAAAAGATGCACTGGAAAGAATTTTCAGTTTTGTTTTCATATGTATTGGCTGTTAATTGAAAGAATGGTGGCAATGTTGAATATTTTTCCAGTGTAGTATTTTGCTTTTAATGCAGACCTTACTGATTACTATGCTGTACTCTGAACATTATGACAAAGCATTAACCACTCCCCCCACAGAAAATGGTTCCTCTCTCTTCTCAGTCTACTGTTTTCTTTTATTGCATGAACTGCATAACCCAGAAAAACTCATTCAAATAAATTGGTGTATCTAAATGAAAATTATTAACACTTTTCAAAGGTACAAGGCACATAAGAAAATAAAGAGCTCAGAAAGTGATAGATGGTAAGTAAAGAATGTAAACTGTACGTTATGGCTTTTGATGGAGAAAGACCAACCAAATACTTGGATTAATCCACTTGCTCTAAAAAAAATTAAACAGGCAAAAATGCATGCTGGTTGCTCCTTAATGAAGAATTTTGGAGCCTTGGGAGAATGATAGCTATTTAAATATAATACTAAATCTGGTGATATTTGCATGTTTGGAACTAAATACACAATGCCATAATGAGTAAATTAATTCAAGTAATTAATGAAACCAGGAGAGAGGCTGGAAAAGAAAGAAAAAGGAGAGCAAGTATTGCCATCCATAGTAAAGATTACTGACACAAAGCAATTTAACTCTGCCGTCCTCTGGGACTTTGAGGGCTTGTACACAAAAAAGAGGGAGAGAAAATGAGAGAAACCAGTTTAAAGGGAACCTGGTTGCTAGGTCACAAAGTGCAAGCTTCCTTTGTTCATTAATTGCCATTGTGGAGACTACCATTATTGCCAAATTAGCAACTGCTGAAATGGACTGTGAGCACTGAAGGTACTTAAAATTAATCAAGACATGAGCCTCAGTGAGAGGTAAAGCTGTGCCCATTTGAGGCTGAAAAGGAACAACAAAAAATAAGAGAAAAATCAGTAAAGAAGGCACAGCTAAAATAAAAGATTTTCTGATCAGTAGAGGAAAAAGGAAGGTTGCTTTCTAGTGAGAAAACAACTTTGATTGCTAGCTTTCAACAAGAAAACCACTACCTGGCTCTAAATATAGGGTTCTCCTGTAGTGCTTAATCCATACAAGGTCTCGGTTTTGGGCTTGAATTCACAATTTAGGTTCATTTTTAGGAAACACATTTCAGAGAAACATGGAGGGTGAAAACCCAGATGAATACAATCATTATAGCAATACGCTTAGATTTATATACTGCCCCATAGTGCTTTATGGAACTCTCTGGGCGGTTTACAATGTCAGCATCAGAGGTGGTATTCAGCAGGTTCTGACCAGTTCTGGAGAACCAGTAGCAGAAATTTTGATTAGTTCGGAGAACCAGCAAATACCACCTCTGACTGGCCCCACCCCCACCTAATCTCTGCCTCCCAAATCCCAGCTGATTGGCTGGGTCTTCTTTTGTTTCCCTGTACAGAAGAACAGAGCTGGAAAGCAGGTTAGTGGGGTGGGGAGGGAATGGGATTTTGCAGTAACCTTCCCCCAGGAGTGGGGAGGGAATGGAGATTTTACAAATACTTCTCCTGCCACTCCCACCAAGCCACATCCACCAAGCAACACCATGCCCATAGAACTGGTAGTAAAAAATTTCTGAATCCCACCACTGGTCAGCATATTATATACAAATCTTATTCCAAATATTCCACCCTTAAAAAATGTTCTTTTATGTCCATAAATGTGCCCATGTCATCTTACATATTATACCTTTTATAAACACATGTGAGACTCTTTGAATGTGAAATACAATATGGATGTGAAAAAAAATATGCAAATATTTATTGTATAAATGTTCAGTTTGATCAAAAGAGACAAATTAAATACTTCCTTCTTTTTAACCTCCCATATAGCAGCGTCCCCAGGTATTTTTTAAAAAAATTGGAAGAAAAAAGAGAAAAAAAACATGACAGCATTTATTTAATGTGTAAACTCAGTTAAACACTTCATTAGTTCTTGCTAATGCATCTAAAATTAGAGAACACGTTGAACAGGCTTATGTTCCGTTTATGGCCTAAGAGCATTTTATAGGGATCCTGTTAAAATATGGAATGCAGTGGCAAAGATTAACAACACAGTGTACTTGCTTGAATAGAAGTGAAGTTTGCTTCCCTCACCTTCTTGAATCATACTATTTAAAACCAGCTAACATCATTTAGTCAAAGTTCCTACTGAGAACACACATACACAGTCCTAGAATAGTGCAGAACATTTAGTTGCCTTTTTCCTTTGATAATATCATTTCATTTAAAAAGCCTACACTAGTTGAACATGAATTAACAAATTGTGAAGGAATTGCTAGGATGAGCTGGCTCAAGCCTACACTAGTACATTATTTTAAAAATCAGATAAAAAGAAAATTACATTTTTGTATTGCACTTAAACACATTGATTATTTATTAATAAAATTTAGAGCATAGAATCCAGGTCATGGAAAATAATTGGTCACTCTATTCTGCCCTGTCAGACCACATTCGGAATAATGTGTCCATGTCCGGGCACAACAGCTCAAAAAGGACAGTGAAAATTGGGGAAAATTAAAGCAACACATGGAATTTCAAGGACGAAGAAGCATAGAGAAACCAGGTGTGCTCTTGATCATGATTTTGTAATTTGAGGCAGTAAGTCAAGCTGGCTGTGGGTTCTAATCAACAATTAAGGTCACCGAGCAGAACTTGTTAACTTGTGGCTAGCACTTATTAGGTGCTAATTACAAAACTACAGAAAAAAATATCTGCTCAGGAAGCGTGTTAGAGACTCAAGAAGTTAAACCATATCAGATTTTAAAGACTATGCCTGCCTGACAGAGGACAAAAAAGAAGACCTGCCTTCCTTTCCCCAGCAGTGTGGTAACTCTACCTATGGAACCTGGCTTCTGGTTGTTCACATATAAATTTTTGAGCACACATAATGTATATACATATGCATACATTGACTTTTCGTATCTACCTCATTCTGTCGATATTAAGAAACTACACACTATGATTTATAATAGATGATATAAGATTATAGGCCTTAACA